AGAACGAGACGATTAACAAAATAGAATAGATGTGAAGAACTATGTTATCTCTTTCTAAAGTAGAATAAAGTTATAAAAGTTGGTATAAAAATGACACTAACGCGGTTCGAAAAACTCGAAAAACATCTTCGAATGTTAATATAGAATTAAAATTTGTGATATATGAACTCTATAAATTATATAGTAAGTTTGATACATGATGTAGTTTGTGCCGTTCTGTACGAGCGTTGCTCACATACACTAAAAAAAGTTTTATTGAGATAACAAAAATATAGTAAATCAAGAGTATAGGGAATATGATATATTATTTAAATATTCATTAAAAAAACAAATGTTCAAATGTCGAGCACGAACGAAAAATCAGAAGAATGGCGCTTTCAGAGTATAGAAAATATGATATATTATTTAAATATTCATTAAAAAAACAAATGTTCAAATGTCGAGCACGAACGAAAAATCAGAAGAATGGCGCTTTCAGAGTATAGAAAATATGATATATTATTTAAATATTCATTTAAAACAGATGTTCAAGTATCGAGCACGAACGGAAAACCAGAAAAAAATGATTATATTCGCGAAATTTCGCAAATTCATGGGTGCTCGTCGCGCGTATCAAATCGAAAAATGAAACTTACTGTTAATAATGTACACATGATTTATTTCTACTTCACATCAGAGAAATATTATACTTTGAGTTTTTTCTGATTACAAGAAATATAGCTCCCTGATAATTCAGATAGTCTACAAGTAGCCCTGATTGATTCTGCAGAAGTCGATCATCAATGTTCTCGTAGCGATAACAATAACGTAAATGTCGAAACAGACGAGAGAAAAGAATGGGAGGTGTTTATTATAGTAGATACTCGTTAGAAGTTCCTACACGGCTAAAAGAAGCGACGAGGAAAGGCAAAGCCCGAAGACGAAAGGACGAGTGCGGGACGGGAAGAATAAGGAGAAAAGAAAGGGGAGGAGGGAGGAAGGATTCTCTGATTCGCGCACAGCCCGTTTTGCTTATTTATTCTGCCTCAGTAATTCGAGACAGAAGTTTGCTGGCGCGATCCAAGTCTCTCTACGTAAACTTTTCATTGCATCTTCCGATACATCCGAGAAAAGATCGCGATTCTTCGTCTCTCGCGAAAGAATATCGACTTTGCGATGCGCACTCGTGCACAGGCTCCGAATCGCAAAAAGAAGTTGCGCTTGCCAAACGACAAGCGGGAAAACTTGTTTTCTGAAACAGCAGACAACAATGCGAAATCGATTGTACGAGAAGGGAAAAACAGTATAATGCGTGATATCGCTCGCATAATGTATACAAGAACGACGTATCGTTTCTTTGTTTGCGCATGATATATTAGTTGTTCAAGCACAAAAAGAGGTAAAGGGACTCACAATCGAATTAAATAAAGCAATATCACAAAAAAAGTCACTATATCAAGAGGCACGGTAGTGCCTCGCGCCAAGTATATGCGCAAACGAAGTGCGCGCGCGCTGCGCGAGGTACCCCGTGCCTCTTATACGCGAAAATGGCCAAATGGCAATATCGAGATTTTCCGATCTCAACAACGGCTAAACCGATCGAGTTCGGCCTAGACTCAATCGAAAGTTAAGATCGAGGCACAAAAAAAAGTATTTCGCAGTTGTTTTCCTCCGTAAAAAATTCTTTGTTTTTGCACTTTGTTTTTAGTTTTCGGTGCAGCCGCGCCAAGTTTTGTTACATTAAATATTTTTTATTTTGAAACATTCCACATGAGTTTTTGACATTTCACACAAATCGAAATCTATATGTATGATTCGACATAGTTTAAGATTTTCTACGCAAGGCGAAGTCATTTCTTACATCAATGAGTGCTTTATATAACAAGTGCAGTGGTCATACAATATTTGAAACTTTTTATTGATTTAGAATATTTTTTATTTTACAACGTATAAACAACTTACAAAGTTTTATATATTTTATATATTTTTGTATAAAAGATTTTACTTGGCGTAACTTATTAATATCATTTCTTTTGTATAAATGTATACAAGATTTTACTTGGTGCTACTTATTGATATCATTTCTTTTGTAGAATAGATCTTGTAGAAGAAGATTTTGATAGTAATACTTTCTCTAGAGATGCGAGTTGCGCATGTACTTGGCGCCTTTTTTTACCTTTTTTTGAAAAGGTATTTTGTGCGAATTTATAATGTACACGATTTTTAGATGAGCAACGATTGCCGCGAGCAATCGGCGGTTTGACCGCAGACAATTGCGAATTTCACGATCTCTCGCAACGGTGATTTTTACCGTAAGCGCGTAACTTGCAATAATTGTAGCGAACGGAAAGCGTAACAGACTCGACTGGTAGTTGCGAAAAGAAAAGCTGCTAGCAAAAAGAGCTATGCGGTTTTTATGTGCTGGGCCTTCCAGAGGATTCCGCCGATTCAAATCTAACAATCGTGATGACTTGCGTTGTTTTTTGGGGATCATCTGGAACGACAGCATCTTTCCGCGAATTGCGTCTCGTTTCGTGCGCAAACACGCACGTGCGTAATAATTGGCAACCTGGTTCTTAGTTTCGCGCAGATCTCGTGAGCGCCTCGCTGATTGGCGCGCGAATGGTTGCGCATTTTGTGACAGAGTCTCGGCAGATTCATGGTGCGTCAGACGGTATTGTGCTCTTGAGCATCTAGTAAATTGGTGAAATTCACTCGCCAATGATACGAGCTACAAGATGGACCTGTAATCGAATCGTGGTGTGTACAATCACTGGAGTGAACTCGTGAAAATGTTTGAAAGACGCACGCCTTTCTACAGGGCCATGCAAAAAATTGAATTAAGAAAATAATCTTTCAGCACACTGAGAGAGTGCCAACGTGTCAGCTGACAAGCCGAACTGACAAACTTGTCGTCAATCATCACCGTCAAAATCAGAAAAAAAAGAAAGCGCGGCTTTTTTAACCTTTTCGCTCCGGGGATTTTTCCTTTAAAATTGACCTCGCATTTTAGCTGAAAAAGTTAATAATAACCTGCTACCTCCCCCCTTCAAAGTTAATTTTGAAGGTCAAAGAAGTAACCAGGATTTTTTTCAATTTTTTTCCGAAATTTAGTGCATTAAATTGACCTTATAAACATCTATTACGTTCGCTTTTCTTGCTGGTCCATGTATGGACCAGTCCCGGAGCGAAAAGGTTAACGCGACGTACGCAATATATATTTCTTCATTTATCAGCATATTGTCTCTCTCTCTCTCTTTGTGAATGACGTACTCGTTGAAAATCGAGAAATTTCCGCGTCAAATTCATTCGACAAGAAATCCTCCGAGGCTCAAAACATCAGATTGCTCTGACCTGTCTTGAGTGCCCGGAGGAATACCGATGCGATGCGAATGGTAGAACGGACGAGGCTGTATGCGCGCAACACCCCGGGAACGTATACAGAACGTGCACCTTCCGACGCGGTCGCATAAACTCGACCGTATCTCGCGCCGACATCCATACGAAATTCGCACCTTGCGCCGCTTGTCCGACTTGTTTTGTCAGCGGAAGAGATTCCGTGTACTCGCACGGAATAAACGGCTCGTCGTCTCGTTTCCGCCCGCTATTCCCCATCTTCTCCTCCCTCTCTTCTCTCTTGTCACTCTCTCTCTCTCTCTCTCTCTCTCTCTCTCTCTCTCTCTCTTTCACTCTCTCTCTCTTTCACTCTCTCTCTCTCTCTCTCTCTTTCCATTCCGTCCGTGGTTGAGTCCGCGTAATTATAACTTCGGTGGAATCCACGAGACGACAACACACCGTCAAACGTATTCTCGTTCTCGAGCTATTCACCCCTTTCGGAAGTGTGCTCGTGCACCGTGTCGGTCTAATTATTTCGTTTTCCGTGAGCTTGGAATCCGGAGAGAAGGAGGAGGAGGTAGGATGAAGGAAAAGTGGCGGATATGGAGAGATGTGGATAGAAGACCTCGAGGGCGCCTTCTTCTCTCTTTTAACGGCGCCTTAATGCGCCCCTCTTTCAGCCGCGACGCGAACCGCTTCAACTTGTCTACCCTTTTGTTTGCGCCTCTTTTGACGACGGTATCTCGCCCTCGTCGCGATCCTGGCATCACTTGCTTACGCTCGCAGACATTAAATTAGAGATGTTGAGCTTTCGATTTTTTTTCACGGAAAACTTGAATCGCGCCATAAGCAGAGAGATGTTTGAAAATGAAATTTATCGGAGAGCCACAGTGACCAGAAAGGGACTTTTTCGCTCCGATCTGTGGGCTCCATTTTGTTTGTCCTTTCATCTAACTGTAATCTTTCAAAAAAGTGAAAATGTCATTGTAAAAACTTTCGCTCCGCCTAAGCTGCAAATATTTTTCGGCACCAAAAGAAGCGACGTTAATTTACTATTCTTCATATTACCTACCTTTTTCACCTGAGCGTTTCGCAGTGAAGTAAAAGTCAGAGAGAAAAGCAAATAACATGTGCATTAAATTAAACACGATGCTTGACAATATTACGAAAATCCTTCGATAAGATTATAAATAGCTACGAACCGGAGAAGAGAGATGAAAACGGAAATTGGGAAAAGGCAAAGAACCGTAAAACGTTTAACCCCCTTCGCTCATTTAGGTGAGCAACTCATCCGAATTGCCTGGCGTTTTATAAGCGTTTGCGGATTTCGCGCAAAGGGAATTTGTGAACGCTGAAATTACAGTCGATATAATTGTGATTTATTGAATTATTTAGAGTCGCGTACGTATGTATATATATATGTATGATATCAATCGATATGTCAGAGAGAATGATAAAACGTATTTGAATGTTTAAAAAACTTCACAAATATCATAGTTGATCAATCATTTCATTCAATCTCAATAAAAGATCACTTGTGCATGTGTGACAAATACATACCGTTTCTATGTATTTAACTTTTTCTTGCGCTTCTGCAAACTTTGTACTTGTAAAACTCCATGAATTTTTTTTTTTTTTTTTGAATAATTCAATACTCCGAGATTTACGCTTCATTGAAATTGCAGGTCGACCGGGTACGGATTATCCCGTGCTGGGGAAGGTGCCCTATACAAATTTCTACTGCGACGACCAGTCCTTTCCCGGTTTCTTCGCCGATGTGGAGACGAGATGTCAGGCGTGGCATTATTGCGACATAGACGGCCGACAGGCAACGTTTCTCTGTCCGAACGGCACGCAATTCAGTCAGGCGGTCTTTGTCTGCGACTGGTGGTTCAACGTGAGGTGCGAGCTCAGCCCGAAACTTTACGCTATTAACAGCCGACTATACGGCACTCCTACCGAGAACCCGACCAGACCTCACCGGCTGATCACGAAGGAGCTTCTGGAGAATATTTTTGTGCGTAGGAAATGAAGCGAGAGGAAACAGAAATGTCGTAGATAGAAATAAGAGACAGAGAGAAAACAAGAGCAACGAAAATTTGCGAAACTATCTAGAGAAGAAGAATAGGATCTATGAAAGCATACTTAAGCAAGGTCAAATAGTCAAATAGTCTTATGTCGTGATCCCGTTGCAACTGCACAACTTTGAGAGGAAAATGAGAAGACGTTCGAGAGCGTCCGATGATAGTCGTCGCGAGATTATATCTAGGAACAATTGGGTCGGCAAAGTCCGAACGAGTAACAGATTGTCGCGATACATCGTGACGAGTCGCTTGAGAGCGCGCTCGAGTCGCTCGAATCGCGAGACGAGTGTGTTCCGAGGGAAATTACCGGAAGATAAATCTTTGTCCAATGAATATCGAAGCGATCGGCAACAGAAGAAACGAAGATCGGCGCTGAGGGAACAAGAAGGATGAGTATCTGCTGCGCATTGTCAATAAAAGAGAAACCGGAGGTGAAACTCACCCTCTTCGTCTGTCGTTCCTTATGTCGCGAAAAAGCGTCTTGCACCCGGTTCTTAATCGTTTATGAGATCCTGAGAGAGAGAATATGTGTGTATGTGTGCGTGTGTGTGTGTGAGAGAGAGAGAGGAGAGAAAAAGAGAGAGAGAGAGAGAAAGAGAGAGAGAGAGAGAGAGAGAAAACAGTAAGAGAGAAAAATAAAAGCTTCATCCCTCCGTTTCCTTCTTACACGACGTTTTACGACATGTTATCGGTGTCTTTCTGTCGCGCGTCTCGTAGAGAGATAAGACTTGGAAGTTGATTGATACGACAGAAGTACGAAGAACCATCAGTCCGAGTAATACATATCGCTGACACGTCCCTGAGAAAATTAACCGAACACTGATCGATCGTTAAACTTAGACGTGTCCTGTCACGACGAGAAGATTTCGACTGTAATTTATCTTTTTTAGGAGATGTCGTAACTTCCGATGTATTTGAACCGAAATGTATATTGCACATATATCTGATATCTCCCATGTAAAATGTGCGATAAAATGTTACGTCTGTTTAACACAATGTATTATGCATATTTGCGAGCGTTTTTGCGTTTTTGTTTGACTGAGATCTGCGGATAAACTGTTAATACAAGAATAAGAAAAAAAAAACACACATGTGTAAAATACGAATGGTTGAATACAATTTTTTCTCCGCCATTAGGAATCCGAAGATTAGTCCTTTTTTTTTATTTATTTTTAACTGCGGTGATTAAAACTCAGTTTTTTTTTTTTTTTTTACGATAATCGAAATACACCGAAGAATCGACGCGTTTCGCGCGTGGCCAAGCATTCACGGCTGCAAAAGTCGATGCTTTCCCGGACTCAATAGCCGATAACACGATTGTGATGCCCGAGCGAAGTACGACAACGGCGGGCTTGCCAGCAATTAGTAATGGCGTGATCGCGCGATATTGTCGCGCTGAAAAGCGATCGTCACGCGACGAATTTTTACTGCGGCAATAAACGAAACACGCACAACATGCGCCATCAATCGCGAATCAAGATTGCGAGTTGCGATAGACACACACGTACAAAATGTGCGGACACACTAGGCTAATAACAATATTCGCGCGAGATTCTCTTCTCAAGCTCCCCCCCCCCCAGTGTAAGTTCGTAATAAATAGTGTATTTTAAAATAATTGTTGAAACTTGTGTGAATGCGTGAGAGCGATATAACATTTGAGAAATATTTCATTCGTATCGTACAACAAGCAGTCGTACGTGCAAGCAGGAAAGGGACGCTACTCCTCTCTCTGCACTCATTCTCCGAAAAAACGTTTCCTAACACAATGTCACCACGATGGTAACGTAGCAATTTTAGCAACGGAATGAAGATATGTGTGTGCCTTTCAACTAATATTGTAGCAACTTGTACATATTTAATGACGAAGCATGTACAAACGTACGTACCTTACCGAGCAATGAGTCGTTCCGCGAGAAGAGAAGGAAATTCGCCTTTTTGCTCTTTTTTTTTTTCCGCTGCTGTCGATCGCTCGCTGAAGTATAAAACTGTACGCGAAGGAAAACTCACTGATTTGTCAATCTTCTACAAAGACTGTTATACTTTGTTTTTTTTTTTTTTTTGTCAAAATACACTTGAACTTTCATCGCCTGCACGAGTATTAATTCAATATCAACTAATGAAGTGAGTCCCGAATTCCAGCCTGGAAATCATGCGCGAGAATCTGTGCATCACAAAAGCATCAAAAATCAATGAGACAACTCCTTCCCCTCTCGCAAACTCCGACTTCGTTGCCCCGCAGCGACCTAAGCCATTGTACACGTCGTGTTTAATAACGTCATAGACATATTAGCAACTTCCTCAGAAATAAACGAGCGTTTGAAGTATGTACTTGTGTAACAATAAACTTTGATAATCTTCAGACAAGACCCTTCTCGATAGAAAAAAGTAGAAGCTTGAAAGCGAAAATGTGCGACTTAAAAGTATATTGACGCATATCTCTGTGTCTTCGTCGACTTTTCGCTGACTTAATGCGACGACGGAAAATGCGAGTTTTACAAATTGCGTGGTGCGTAAAAAATGTTTCGTTGAAAATTTTATTCACTTATAAAAGAAAAGCACTTGCGGAAACGAGTTGCGGTAAATTAGTTCGAAAACTTTTTGGATACAATGTATTTTTAATGGAGAGATGCCAACCGACTTTTGCCAGTCAATTAACTAATGAACACTTGTTGCCAAGCAGGAAGGTTTTCCCCTCAAACTTTGAGGATCTTTTAAGGAGATCAAAATGTAGAAAAAAAAGTTTTGAAAAAAGTTTTACACGCGCGTACCTGCATATACATCGTTAAGAGAATGACGACAGGAGTGAGCACGGTCACTCCGCGACCGCAATTGATTCAACTCTCCACACACTCGAATGCGGAGATACGGGTTTTATATAAAATATCTGGTATCCCCTCACGTTTGCGTTAAATGAACCGCAAGGTGCATTCCGCAAAAATAATTGGTTTTGGCAGAGTATCAGAATTTTTTTCCCACGAGTTGAGTTAGCGCGACTCGATGGTATATTCCGAGGTTTGCCTTTGGTTTCTGTTTCAATTTTAATTTTTTTTTTTTTTGTCGCCGATCGATAATAAATTCGTTTCGAGCCGTATGGCCCAACGCCCGTCGGGAAGGAAAGTAGAAGAAAAGAAAATACTATCCCTGAAAATGAAGCTGGATTTAGGAAAGGAAGATCTACGTTAAAAAGAAGATCTACAAAACAAGAAGTTGGAAAAAATATCATTCGAAAGTTTTCGTAAAAGTGAGATTATAGCTACATATTTTGAAAAAAAAAAAAAAAAAAAACAAACTGTAATAAAATTGACAATTATGAAGACGACACAAACGAGATACATTGTAAATATTAGCTTTTATGGCAATGTATGACTTTGATTTATTATTTTTTATTAATTTAACACACACACACACACACACACGAAAGAGAGGATATATACATAAAAAGAACATACTGTCACTGCTAACACCATCGATATGATTGCCGATTTATATTTTTAAAATGTTTTGCGTAATTGTTTAAATTTTTTCTTTGTGTTTTTTTGCGTTTATGATGTTGATAATCATCGGAACTTCCTTTCAACATCAGAAGTGGGATCAGAGCTTACGGCGAGCTCGAGTGTGTGTAAAGTTAGTCGGTAATTTGTGTCAGTGCGGTGTTTTTAAAATATATGCACACGCACAGGAGGAATCGAGGCAGAATGGATCGAGCGGCTTTGGAGGAAGCGACGGTGGACCAACTGAAGAAAGAAGCGAGAAGATATAGGCTGCCGTCGACGGGTGACCGAGCTGAACTAATAGACAGCATAATGTCGCATTTCGAACGCCATGGACCATCAGACCTGCTTCAAACAGGCAGAAGGGAAATAGAATCTACACAAGCCGCCGGTGCCACGGCCCAGTCAGAGCCACTAACTGTAGAGGTTTTTCGCCAAACGATGATGCAGATGCAGCAGCAATGGATGGCGCAACAACAGCAACTCGTGAGCGAGTTAGTTCGCCAAATATCAAATAGAGAAATAGTGCGTCCGACGGGCGATGATCGGGAGATGAATCGCCCGGGACAAGAATCCCGTCGTGAAGAAGGTGAGTCAAGAACTCGTGCAGATAACCACCCTGTGCCATTTCCGGCGACGATAAGTTCCGACCGGTTGAGCGACGGTTTCGTTAACGCGTCATCCACGAAGTGGCTTGCGACACAGATTCCGGAGTTTGGTGGGACTGAAAATAAAAATATCAAAGTTTGGATTCGTCGTGTGGATCAAATGGCGCAGATCCACGGCGTTTCCGATTGTGTAGTTCAGCTTGCAGCGTCCAGTAAATTAGTAAAGCAAGCGAAACAGTGGTATGACCGCCAAGAAGGTCAAAGTGTTGAGGCGTGGGTGAACATGAAAGGAGAGATGTACAAAGTGTTTGAAAGACATGTACCCTTTTATATAACGATGGAAAAGGTTGAAGCNAGGAAATGGAATGTGAACAAAGAAACTTTCGACCAGTACGTGATGGCGAAAATGGATCTGATACACGCGCTAGACGTGCCGGTCAAGGATGCAGTTCACTTGGTAATAGGCGGAATCTCCTCAAGTTCATTGAGGGCCACCGCGCGCTCGCTAAAGAGTAAGACTGTGGAAGATTTCCTAAACGATATGCGTGGTATTGCGGCGAGCTGTTCCGACAGTGGTAAAAAGTGTACTACACTGGTGCCGGCAAATAAAGTGAAAAATAAAACTTGTAGAAATTGTGGCGGTGCGGGTCACGGGCACAAAGATTGTCGTGCGGAATTGACCTGTTTTTTTTGTAAAAAGAAAGGTCACCGGCAATTTGATTGCCCAGTGTTGAACGAACGTTGAACAAATAAAGTCGAGTCGGTCGAATCAAAGGAATTTCCTTTCAACATAATTTTCCTCTCAACATAATAATATTGCATCATAATAATATATCATCATTTCCTTTCAACATAATAATAATTATGTTATGATGATATTGTAAGAATCGTCACACTGATTAATATAAAAATTGTTTATTCAGTTCTATTTCGTACAGGTTTCTTGTGACGATGTTACAATAATTGTTTAAAATAACTGCGTGACTATGATTAAAATACACAGTTCACTACTAATAACTACGTGATGATAAATGATTGACTGCTCGATTCTGACTGCCCGCCTCGGTTCGAGGGCGCGCTTTTATAGGGCCTGAGTTCGGCCAAAGAAGATTCTGGAGTTTTCCTTATTTGGTAATATTCTAGAGCATTCTCGAATGTTCGAGAATAATCTAGAATGTTCTAGATACGGCTGTGTGCTAGGACAATCATTTCCTGTGTCAAAAGATTGCCTTATATGGTAAGATATTTCGAAAGGTCGATGGTGCGTCACGGTTTTATCGCTAACCGTCGGTTTTTATGATACTTAAAATAAACATGAAAAGTTCTGAACTCTACGCGTAACAACTAGACTAATCTAGACAATGGTCACAGTATTACGACTGAAGAAGTCTCAAGTTAGAGACGAAACGTTTTGTTTTTCCATGTAATTGATATTTTGCTTAATATATATTCACAAATTGTAAATATTGGTTTTAGTAT